CGTGTTGTTATTTGGCAGTTTGCTTCAATCAGTACCTTTATTTTGTTTTCATTGGCTTCAACTGGCTATCCAGAATGTGGTGCATCTTCAATATTGAAATTGCCAGAATGAAATTTTGCAAACCAGTTTGGCACTGTTGTTCTGTCAATACATCTTCTCCATACACGTCACACAATTTTTTTCTCGCTTGAACAGCAATTTAAAACTTAAATTGGAGCAAATTAGTACTACAGAAGTGCATTTTTTAGACATTGACATTTCATTCAATAACGGTTCCTTAATTAAACACGAAGGTATACATCAAGCCCACTCGTGACTCATTATACTGTACATCCCTTCAACCTCCAGTGATCATAACTATAAGCTTTCAGCATTTAGGGCTCTAGTTAGAAGGTCATTCCATTACTGCTCCAACATATACGACAGACTGCAAGAGTTAGATAGGATTAAAGCTGTGGCTAAAATGTTGGGGTTTGGAGCAAAAGTCATTGAAAGATTAATAAGTTCTTACACAGATCCTAGCAAAAAGAGAATGAAGAAAGCTATGAACAATAATATTACTAAGTTCACATACAACAGAAACATATCCAATATTATGAAGGAGATTTCGGATTACAAGAACACAAGATTACTGTACAAAAGAGTTCTCACAATGCACAACTTACTTGGGAATGACAAAGATAGAATCAAGAAAGATGAACAAGTGGGCGTATACAAGATAACTTATAAAAATGATCAATTAGGTTTGAACAAAGAATATGTAGGTGTCACCACCAGAAATCTCAACAAAAGACTTAAGGAGCATATGCATGATGTAAGCAAAGGACACTATTCTACAGCATTATCCAAAGTGATGCAAACAGAGGGTTCGTTCATTGAATGGGTTAAGGCCAGAATTGTTACACAGGTGCATTCACCAACTCTGGCATTAAGTTTGGAAAAGTTTGAAATCTAGCCTGACTGGCAAATGCTTAAACTACAAGGATGCCACAGGCTTACCATTGGCATGGAAATATATAATCAAGAATAACTCATGAAATCTGATGCGTAGCATGCCGTCAATGTAATTTTATATCATATGTTATTATATTTTGTTCAACTCCATGTATTTTGATTCTTTCAGTTTATGTATTTAATGGATTGGTTATATTATTTATATTTTATTGTTTGAACTGTTTTAAATTTAAATTTTATATTGATTCGATTGTGGAACGAATTTAAACATTCCAATGATAACCTTATGATGGCCTGTTAATCAGGTTGAAAATGTTAGTTTAAAGTATTAAATAATTCTCAGCAATAAGGTGTATATAGTATATAATAAAAAAATTACTACCAAAACTCACCATTATGACACTTTTGAATGATGAGTTTTGTCATTAACATAAGTGTGAAATGGCAAATGTTACCACTATGTCATCAAGGAAAATCAGTAAGTTTTTATGCACATTCTATGCATTCACAAAAACTTTTTTTTTAATTCATTCCTTTACAGCAGCTTGAATTTAGGCTTCTGATGAAAACATTAACTTTTCAACTTCTCTCTTAATTTTGGGAACAACCAGAAATTCAATTGTGCCAGATCTGATTTGACCTGTAAATAGGGTACATAATAACTTTAGATTTGTAAGCATCTTTGTTATTTTTTTACTTCAGTGTGAATTTGCATTATTATAATGCAAGAAAAAAAGCAGCTCTTTCTTCCATGACATCTGCAGATATGTTTTTCTAGTGCTTAGAAGGTTTCATACTACTTTACCAAATTGATTGTTTTTCTCTTTGCTAGATTCTCCATGTAAAAATTGTGTATATGAAGTTGTTTCCCTTTCTATTTGCAAAGATGTGTAAGTCTAAATCAGTGATGAACAACATTTTCTGGATGAGGGCTGAAAATGAACTGTGTAGACTTTTGATGGGCTGTATGCATTTTTTCTTACTAAGTTACAGGCTATTAAGCCTGCTGAGTACCAACATATTTGATAACCTCTAGTACACTAGCTACCAAAATAATATATGCTAAGTAGTAATACTGTATATAGTTTATTCTCATCTTTTTACTGTAAGTTTAGTTTGAATATTTTTTTGTCATGAATATTAATTTAATTATGGTTGCCTAATGGTATGAGACAGGAAACAGGAAAATAAAATTATATTGACAAAGTCTTGGAAACTGCAAATTATAGGCTCAGGCAATAGATTGCTCATGTATGATATAAATCAGGGGTGTCTAGCCTGCAGGTCACATGCGGCCCAAGACAAGTTCCAATGCGGCCCAATAAACATGTAAACAAAACTGACAAATGTTTTAATTTTTTTATTATTTATTTATTTCAATGGTGTAAACTCAAAAAAGAAGTTTCACAAAGCCGTAAACCTTTATTTATATTTTATTTTTGAGCGGAAAGGAAATATTTTCAAATACTTGGAGATTGGTGAATGAGGAAGGATTACTAAATAAAGCTGGAGTTATGACTCAAAGGATTATAGACCCAAATTTGGGAAAAGTGAGAAAGGACAAAAGATAAAAAGTAGTGAGAAAGGGTAAATAGACCTTCTGTTATGCAAATATTGACTCTTAATTTTCCAACCTTTCTCACTTCTTTATCTTTTGTCCTTTCTCTCCTTTCCCCCTGATTTGGGTCTATAATCCTTTGAATCACAACTCCAGCTTTATTTAGCATTTCTTCCAACGTTGCAAGATTTGGCTACATTGCGCCAAATGTGGCTACTTTTTTTTTGACATAAAAAATATTCGAAAAAAATAAATGAATTTATATATATTCTAAGTAAAAATTGAAAGTGTCCTTTTTCGTGATAAGGTTTTAATATTTATTATTATAATCTAGACATATTAATCCTTAAATATACTTGTATACTGGGCCACAAGTATATATTATATAAACTTTTGGCCCAAATCTCCTTGACTTATTCCAATGCGACCCAGAGAAACAAAAAGGTTGGACACCCCTGATCTAAATAGTGGCTATATTGAACTGAAGTTCAAGTGAATATGTATATGATTAAAATAAATATTTTTTTTAAAAATACTGTAGTTACATTATTCTGCTTTTCCCTAAACTAATTTTATAAAAATGGAGATCNTGTACTGTACGTACAGTACATACTTGTAAATGTATATATATTTTAATATGATTTTATGTGCTTTAAACGCTTTTCTAGTGATATTACGACTCCAATATTTGTGATGGATGGACATAAAATCAAATAAAATGACTTAAACTTGATTTTTATTTTTCCATATATTTTTTGACAAACGGTGTATAATCGAGAACAACGTAACTCGAGATATACCTGTATTAACTGTTTTTGTGATTAAAATTTTGAATCATAAGCTTAAAACTAATCAAATACTGAGTGGATTTGGAAATAAAATATAATTTGAAATTTCATCTTCAGAGCCACCTGAAATGGATTTTCATCTTTTACATGGATTATGAATTGTAATTTATGAAATAAAAAGTAAATTATCAGAATATATGATGTGAGAATCAGGATTTAAGGGGGGTCATTTATAAATAAATTAGCAAGAAAAAGAACAACGTAATTTCAATTAGAAAATATTTTATAACTTTGACAAATTTTTCGAACAATGGATGTCAATACTTTCGATTTTGATAGGAAGTTCATTTCCTTTCTTACGATGACTAGTAAGTTAAATCAGAAGCAGCCACACGTGAGACTAGGCTGTCGACTTGTATAAAAGGGACATTTTTCTGTCACTCCGGGCAGTTCAACAAAGTACGAACATGCCATAGGAGAAAATTCATCAAAAGAAGTACTTGCCATAGAATATACAACGAAGACAGTTCCAAGATAAGAGGACCGCCGCATAAATGTCGATCATATTGTAATAGCGCATCCATAGATGTTACGATTCCTAAACGTCTCCTTGATCTTGAACAAGAAGACAGCATTCAAATACAAGATATGTACTGAAATTGGGAAGGTAGTATATATCTGTTAGATTGATGTAAACTCTCTCTCCTACATAAGTGTTAGATTTCACGCAATTAGGTTAAATATAGATTTAAGTTGGCTGGTTTGATCTCCCTACAGGATAAGCCCCGAATGTAATATTGGTAACTCCATTTATTGTAATTTGATTCAATTGTGTATTTTAATTTGTATTCATTCTTTAGTTTAGTTATATTAAATTTATTGTTTTATAAACGATCTTATTCATTATGCACTCCAACTCACTCAATGGTTGACCTTAGCTTATCTTGGATGTTGTCACTGGAGCATCACAGATATTTCTAATTAAGGATAAATTGTGAGTTAAACCACGAATAATAGTTTAACTGGTGTCACGTCCTGACGTGGATCCTGGTTTCACAATCTAGATTTTTATAAAAATTAAAGCCTTCCTTAAAAGTTAGAGATTGGATTGCAAGATCTTGTGTCGATTAAGTGGTACACAAGTTTACTAACTTTGTACCCTCGGCTTATTTCACAATAGCATCTGGCTAAATATTTCTTTGGAAGAAACTACTAGTCTATTGTATATAACTATTGGTTACTATTGAAAAAATTAGCATTGAATTTTTAGATTGTTTATCTTAATCTTTCTTTCTTAAAGTTAAGTCAACTTCAAAGACAATAAACACATTCAAATCACAATCTATTCAATAAAGATCAACAAGAAGATTAATAATAAACTTAGCATTTCAAAAATTTTTTGAATGATTGATAATTTAGATTTATTGGGTAATCAGAAAAATGGTATATTAAAAGCCAACAAAAATTAATTTTGTTCCAAAGAAATAATTTTTTGTTAATGAATCAGACTTACTATCCTTTGGAATAATCATGATTGTTTGTTAGTTTGTTTGTGTGTGTGTGTGTGTGTGTGTATTTTATAAGGATTGGAATTTTTAATTATAGTAATACTATATGAATAATATAAAAGACAAAATTTAATGTGTACTTAGTTAGATGAAACAATGTCAATCACTTGTCATTGTTTCATCATAATGCACTTTATAATAGTAACTCATAATAACTTTATAATAATAACTCATGAGTAACTATAAAACTATAGTAACTCATCACTGAGTTACTATAGTTTTTATGATATATATGGATCTATGTCTGCATGGATTAAGGTAAAGTGCATTATGAGCAGGCAATGATATTATCATATAGAGAGATAAGGATCAAATATCTGTTTTACATAGTAATTAGCCAAATTAAACATTCTTTCTTGGCAATTTAAGATAGATTTTCTTATTAGCTTTCATGAAAATTTTTACAAAAATGTCAATTTTACTGTTTAATTTTTTTCCAAAATTGGTCATCTTGTAAACTAAAAGACCTAGTTTCAAAAAGATATCTTAGCTGCTTTCTTGAAATAAAATTTTCTTCTGAGCTATAAATCATTCAAAATCATTGCTATGATGTTACCAAATCATAAATTTACCAGTATCATATATTCAGATTCTTTATTAATAATGTTTGTGTTTTTATATTTCGTGTTATAAATCTCAGTTTTACTAATAATGCTTGTTTAATACAATTTAATTTTAATGTTAATTTTTAATATTGATGATCATCTAATATATAAAAAATTTAACAAGATATTTGTGTATGTATATATCCACACACAAATTGATTATTGTGATATGAAGATTTTATTTCATTTTATAGGTATATTTCATATAAAATATTCAAATTCTAAAAATTACTTTCATTAGTTCATAGATCCCGATCAAAAGAAAAAAGATCTTTAATGGGTACTTTGAGAAGAAGATTAAGTTTACGAAAAACCAGATCAAAATCTATGGAACAAAAAGCTGATAAAGATGAAACTAGACATCCAAGTAGCCGCAGTGTTTCAGCTGATCGTTCTCGATCTATGCCAGAATCAAGAGAAACATCATCATTAAGATCATCTGGCAAGTATTTTATTTTATTAACAAAATTTATATTGTTATTGATTATCATTCATGAGATATTCATGATGAATTGTAACATTATTATAATATTAAACCTATTCCCAACATTTGAAAATCTGAAACAGATTTATCCTAACTAGGAAAAATAATTAGTAAAAACATTATGTAAATCTAATCTAAGAATATAATTATAGAAGTTTTAAATGAAATGCAATATCTATTATATTCATTTCATAAAAATTAAGTAAAATTAAACACTCAAACATAATTGTTTGAATAATTTTTTACACTAGATTTTTTTATTTCTGTCAAAAACTTAAATTTTATGTACTGTATATGATTATTAAATACAGAATTTTAAAACCTGTTATGTGAAGATATAAATTTTATAATTGCAGTCAAAAGTTTTTATATAAATTAATCCTCCAATTAAAAACTTTTTACAAAACATAAAAAATATTTATTATAATAGATATTTTGAATTTATTCAGTTTGTCAATTAATCACTGTCAGTGCTCAGTGGTTTCAAAGATTTCCAAAAACAGCTAAGAATTAGTTTTAAAAAATGACTTTTCACTGCTAACACAGAATTGTGACAAATATAAAGTGGGGCATTTAAACCTGAAAAAAATGAAGGATCTCTGAAACAAAATGTTGCAGAGGAAAATGTTTAAAATAAAATATGTTTGTTTTGAAGTCAAAAGGGTAACAGATTTATTTATTTTGAGCATGATTTCAAGGTTGCATCAAGGTCAACTTGTTATTTTCAAATGAAAACATATTTTTTATAGTGGCAGTTGAATCTATGCAAAATAACATAACTTTTACCTGAAAGATTTTTCTGTTTATTGCTTACTTTTGACATTTAAATTTTAAAGGCAGGCTAACAACATTTTTCTTTCCAATGTAGAAACTAATGTTTTTATTAGAAATATACAAAAATTCAATTTTAATGAGTAAATTAAGCTAACAAGTATTAGAAATGATGACCTTCAATCCTAACAATTTTTAAATATGTTCAAAAAATGATGGAAAAATTCCTGAAGAAAAGCTTTTAGTCTGTCAACATCCCTTGCCTTTTTTTATACATTACCATGTACTTTTGTAAATAAATAAATATTTCTTATATTTATACAATAATAAGTATGTTTTTTATTATATATACTTGTGTATATGTGTATAAATATAAATTGTTATTCTTTTGACACTAACAGCTCCAACATTAATTTTCAGATAGAATAAATACAAAACTGCTATTAAATTTTGTATAAAATGCAATTATGTTTTTATTAATAAAAGCTATCATACACTTTCATAAACTGTATGATAGCTTTACTTTCATAAGTAACATAGAATATCATTAATAAAGTCATTTTTACTATGTATACATAAAATTATAGTTTTAAATAAATTTATATAAAGTATTAATACAGACTAGATATAAACAAAATATATGTAAATATTGCTTATATTTGGAAAAATAAATATGAATTCTTATGAGATTCTAGGTGGAATACTTTTAATAATAAATTTTATTGTCATATATAATAATTCATTGTAGAAAAAAAGCCTTTAGAAATATGACTATTCTTTTGCATTTATATTGATAAAAGCCTGATGTACTTGTTAATTAATTGCATTTATATAAGAAATTGCATGTATATGTTGCATGCATTTATTTAGTATAATCATTATAGTAGTATTGCACAAATGTGAATAATTTACTTTATGTATATATGTGTATATATGTATTGTAGTTATTTTATTTATTTATTTTTTACTTTTATTCATGCATTGCTGAGAATTTTGTGATAAAGGTAAGAAAAGATGATGTACAAAATATATAATAGCATGGAGTATATGTTGACTNCGATTAAACGATACGAATGGACCCTAGACCATCACTGATGCGCAATTGACTGATTGCCCCTGGATGTCGGCTTCTTACAGAAACACAGCTTCCCTATCATCAAATGACGTGGCATGCCACTGGTAATTACAGAAAAAGTCTTAAACAAGAAAAATGAATCAATGAAAAATTTTTGATACTTATAAAATATTGTCTTTAGGAATACAACAAAAATGGAACTGGAGCATGCATATAAGTTTCAAATTTAAAACAAAGATTTCATATAATTTTAAACTACTAAAATACAGGGTGGTACAGATTACTGGTGTGGCACAGCACAGAGCAACCTCATTAAAAAACAAACAAGAAAACTGGGGGAATTCTCCCAAAATTCCCCAAATGAAAATGTTTGAAGTCAACACTGTACATGAAACTCTCTAATTTAAATCTGTTTGAGGGCCCATATGCCACTGGACTTCTTGAAAATCTTGATCCAGCTACATCATACTCTTCAGATCCACTCAAGAGATCTTGCTCTGCTCCAGTTGAATAATGGTTGCCTTCAGATCAGGGGACTCATTTGCCATTAACATATCTATTTTTTTGTTGAACCTTCTGTAAATATTCTTAATACGTATAAAGAAGTAGTGTGCCATTGCTTTCTTCTATGCAGTACCATAGTTAGTCCAGTTGCTGCAACTATGCCTGTAATAGTCTGATCACAAGTTCTTCTGATTGTTGTGCTGCAATTTGAAAACATTGTAGACTTATAAATTTCCACTGTCATCTGTGTCTCCATGTGTCATCCATTTGTCTTTCCTTAATCTTGAGAACAGAGTTAGATAGATGAAATGCGAGACCAGATATATTCAAGCCTCAATTAACTATATACAAACATCCAATGCAAATTGGAAGTCGCATTATTTCAATTCAAAACTTTCCTTGAAAGCAATAAACCTATCCGATGTTGAAATTTTCATCTTTTGCCTGTGATGCCATGTTGAATTTTTGTCGATGTTAAGCCGAAAATTTTTTTAAAAATAATAATCATGTTTACTGTGTTGTTAAAAATTATTTTTTTATGTTTCACAAACAAAATAAATATATTGAAAAATATAGAAACAAAAAAAACTATATTTCAAAAGTTCGTTTTAATATAAAAATTGTGACGCATAGCAACATCTAGTATCATAAACGTTTTGATGTAGACACGAAAATATTCGGATTGAGGTCAACATGAATATTTTCGGGAACAACACAGGACAGGTTAATAGATGACCAGCACAACTCTGTTGTTAAGGAAAAGTATGATGTATAGGGGCAAGCCAATACTAATTTGAGGTGAAGATATTTTAAATTAAATAAATTAAAAATGTGATTAAAAACTGCAGCACAGCATTGTGATGATGTTACAATAAATAATTGCTCATTTATAACTTTGTCAGTATTGGCTGTTTTGCTACCAACAGCTAGGGCTTTTAAGGTGTTCCTTTCTTCTCTTGACTTGGACTTGTCATAGGATATATATGGCATTTTATAGAACTACATTTACCAGACAGTTTACACTCTCCTGTTGATTCTGCCACTCATGGTCTGCAACTGTTTAATTACCAGTATTACACATTTATTTGCGGTTAACTTGCCTATTACAGGCTATTCCAGTATCCATCAGCTAAGGATCCCATTTATTCTCTGATTGAGGAGCTGTTCATCTAGAAAACTACACTCTTAATGTTAATCTATTCACCTTGATTCACCTCAAAAGATGAAATAGAAAAAATCTCATCTTCCATGAAAAGGAAAAGGATATGTGCCCTCTTTTCCTACTTTGGTTAATTACACATCAAACTGTATAAGGCTATTTTTTAAGAAATAAAGTAATAATGTGGAATAAGTTGTTATTTTTATGACAAAGTAAATAGCAAGAATCCTTGATGACATTTTACAGACTTGGAGAAATAGATGCTGAGATCAAAGATTGTATAAAAACATTCCTTTTTTCAGAAATTTTAACAGTACTGTACATGGAAATTCAATTCAGTATTCACTAAACCATTCAATCAATCAATCTTTTATTGCATATACAATTGTACATGCCCAGTACTTCAGAGCAGAACTCGGTATTCATCAAACCACTCACGATTCAATGCATATGTTCCAGTGGCATGCCATGACATTTGATGATAGGGAAGCTGTGTTTCTGTAAGAAGCTGACTTATGGGGGCAATCAGTTAATTGCATGTCAGGGACCATTCGTATTCCTTTGTTCAATAAGCCAATAAAAACCGTACACTTCTTTAAATGTATTTTTAATAGATTATCTGACATACTTAATAAATAAACAAGTTCAAATTACCTCTGTTATTAGATTCAATAGATTCCCTATGCCCTCTAAATGCCAATTCTTCCTTTGAGAAAAAACATATAACATCTATTAATTTAGATATAATATATCTATTAGCCATAATTATCTTGTTATAATTTTCAATATTTATTTTATATTGTCTACTAATGTTAAATTCTATTCTGTTTTGATTTCCAAATTGCTTCAATTTTATGAAAGAATTGATGTGACGTTACAACTTTCGTGTCTTTTGCCAGCTTTACTCAAATTATTTAAATCATCAAAGCCATTCTTATTCCACACACTAATTTTATTTGAAAATAGTAGGCAAGGCCAACAANTTCTTGTTTAAATATACAATGTTTGGATATAGTCAAAATGTTAAGAGAGTAATTCTTACTGTTATAAACATTATCGTATCATTGTCACCATATATTGAATATGAAAATTGTACAATATTTTGATTTAGAAGTTTTTTTTTCTAATCTTAAATGATTTAACATTAGAAAAAAATCTTTACACTTATTTATTATGCAGAAATGATTATATTCTCATTTACATTTACTTTGATTTTTTAGGTGGTAGCAGAACAGAGAATGACAGCACACGAAGTAGTATTAGTGAGGCTTCTGGTATAAGTAGTTCATCAACTCGAACCTATCTTAGTGACAAATCTACATTGGTTGTTGAAGCTAATGAAAATGGTGTAATAAAGTTAGTATAAAAAATATAGTATTTAAGATAGAATACATTTTTGATGATAATTGTTTCATTGTAAGCTTTTTTTTCAACTTCTCAACTCAGCAAATAAATAATCTTTAATAAGAAATGAACATACACTAGGTCACAAAAGTAGCTGGACATCTATAAAATGGAAGCGTTCTTTGGTTGTCACCCATTTCTCACGTAAAATAGGGGAAAAAATAATGACAGATGTAAAATCTTCAGACTTTTTACACAGAAAAAAATATTTACATGTAAAAATACATTGATCAAAAAGAGAAAAATAATTTTATTTAAAACATTTTTACATCACAAAATTATCTGGACAAAAGAAATAAATAATGATAAAACACATTATTTTATACATTTAAGAATGAGTTGGTTTTGTTTTTGCTGTGATATCGTCTAAACAACTAGGCATTCATCCAAATTTTTATAACAGTTTTGTCTATTAAATTCAAAACTCTGATGATGATTTTAAGATCAATTTTGTTTGTTATTGTTCATTCAATGTGATCCCATATATGCTCTATTGGGTTGATATTGGGCAATTGTGGAAACCAAGGAAGCACTTTTATACAGTGCACATCAAGAAACTGATTTTTGAAGTGTGCTTTGGATTGCTGCCATGCTAAAAACAAGCTTTTACCCTGACTTTAATTTTCTTACTGATTTCTGAAAAATTTTATTTAAAATCTGTTTTTACACATATTGATTAATTATTCCATCAATAAATTGCAGAGTTCCAGCACTATTTGCAGAAACAACCTCAAATAGCACTAAACCATCTCCACATTTTACTGTAAGGATCAGGTTTTTCATTCTAAAAGATTCTCCAGCTTTTCTTCATACTTTCAGGCAATCATTTGAACCAAACACATTGAATTTGGATCATCTGACCTCAAAACTGATTTTCAAAATGTTATTGATTTTATATAAAACTCTTTTGCAAACTTTAACCTTTACTTTTTGTTTTTTTCTGTTGACAAATAGTTTTTTTCTTAGCAACAAAATCTTTATAGCTACTTGCTTTTAAAATTTTTCTCAGTTTCTGTAGATATATATATTCCACATTCTTCAAAAGCCTCAACAATTAGGAACGATTATTTATGGATTTTTCTTCACTTTCCTGCCAAATGACACATTTCTATCACATTACTGTATTTCATGACATCCAGATTGAACCTTATTAACTACACTATTTTTTGTAAGCAATTTCATAATGGTATCTTAAATTGTGGATTTTGGAATGTGAAACTGTTCTGCATAATTTCACACAGATTTCCCTTTTTGCTATTCCTTAATAATCTTAATAATTTCAAATATTAAAACACTCCAAACATTCTAAATAATAGAAATGTAAGTAAAAAGAAATTAATCAATTAATAGGTAAGAGAAAGACATACAGAGGTTGTGGTTTATCAGATATATATCAAATAAAAGAAAGTAAAAATATATATATAAATTTTGCCTAGAATATGTAAAGTAATTTGACAAGAATAAATTTTAAATTTATAAATTATGAATTAAAAATTCTAGAAATATTGTAAATATAGAAAACTTGCTAATATAACTTTTCAATTTTTATGATTTTGACATTATTAAATTTTAAAGTATCTAACAAGTAATATTAGGAAAAGAAGTTTTTAGATGATGGCTTAGAATTGTTGCTTATTTAAATTTTTTATTAACTAAGTTAATCCAATCTAGAAATTGTTTATAATTGTGTGACAATGCTGAAGGGCCCCCTCTATGCTTTGGCACCACAGGACTGAAGGGTCAACATTGCGTCGGCGAAGGCTTCAATGACAAATTTATCAGGACTGACACCACTGTGTCTTCTGGGTAGACACAGAGACCGTTACGTTAGCGTTTATGCGCAAGCAGTCGCGTCTGTGGGCAGTTTGACTCAGGATGGAGATCACTTGAGGAAGTGCACCAAACACAATTCTAACAATAACAAAATTCATTTATTGAACTAGTTCTACAAAAGGGTATTTACCTTAAAGTTTCTTTGCGAGAACCAAGTTGGAGAGAGAACTTACATAACATCGCAGGTCGTTATAAATATCTGAAGCACTATGTATGGATTTCCAGATGTCTGTGGAGCCATTGAGGAGCCTTGGGAATGTCTGTTGCCTTGGATGGCGGTTAAAGTCTATCAAAAGTTGAGATCTGTTAGTTCTTCATAGGTGTTCCCAGAGAAACACTAGATATTTGGGAGGAGCGCACGGTGATGAGCGATGATGGTAAATCCTTTCGGCTGGCACACAGGGAATATTTTCGCAGACTTTCGATCCCTCTCACTGTTCCTTCAGGTCTCCTCTTTATTTCCAAGTCACATTGTCATTTTCCACCAATAGTGAATTTTTTGTAGTAGTTCCCAGTGACGCATTCTGGGAAAGGAAACGACTCTGGGAAGAGAGATGCACTCATCCTCCAGTAATAAAATCGAAAAGTTTGTTTTCTCTGAGATTTAAATAAATTTCCTTTTCAAAACGAAAAATGAATTTTCTTTCAAAAAATTCCCGAATAAAATTGTGGGTTTTTTTTTTCAAAGTCCGACCTCTCACAATTGTATATATTTTAATGTTACTAACATTAAAAGTATATTCATTCTGTAGCATCTGGAATTCAGTAATAATGCATTTTGAGTTTTTAAAAGATTAAGAAAATTCCAGAAATAATTTAAATGCAGGAAATACAAAGACGAAAAGGCAATAGTCAATTTCTGTCTTAGATGTAAATATAATTATAAAATATATCTTATTCAAAGAAAGATATTCCTTCTTCTTTGGTAAAGACCTGATGGATTATAATGATCAGACCATCCAATAGGATGATTAGATTCTGTTTTGTTCCATTTATTGTTCAGAAAATGTTACATGAAGATTTATTTTTAATACCAGCTTATAACTTGAAAGCCATTTAATAATTTAAATTGTGTATGAATGTTAGTTTAGTTAAGATGAAAGAAATTTCTATACTGTAGAGCAGTGGTTCTCAACCTTTTTTTACCCATGGACCCCTTTTCCTCTTAATTATTTTTTTTTTTTTTTGTGAATCCCCATAGACATTGCACAGAAAAAAAAGCCTTATATTTTTCACTAATAAAAAAAAAGAAAGGAAAACGTTCAGAAATGTCACTGTCAAATGACATGATGCTTATGGTATAAGATTCTCCTAACAAACACCAGCTAATCTCTTCTTGACCTTTTTCAATGAGATATATATGTTGCATAAATATTCAATATTTTAAATAATTTATATTTTAACCCTTATGCAAGAAATGAGTAATAAAGAAATTGACAATATATAGAAATTGACTGTAGAAATTTAATTCTCAGTAAAACAATTGTTCTGAAGTAGAATTACCCTATAGACCATTAAAATATCACCGTGAACCCCAATTCAGTAATTTTTTCTGTGGACCCCCAGTAATGTTACAAGGACCCTGGTTGAGAACCACTGCTGTAGAGTTTAAAAAATGAAGTGAATAAATTAAAAATGGTAATGATAAAATTATTTTTATTTTCAATCATAAAAAGAATGGCAGAAAATAATGCTATTGTGTGTTAAATTATAATTTAAACATTAATTAATCAATCTATAAAACTATTATATTGCATTTTCATTTAATATGTTAAAAAAATAAAATAAGGCCTATTAGCATGACAATAATTGCATCACATGTCTTACCTGTCAATGAGATTTCATTTTTTTTTTTTTTGAAAAATGACTATTTTTTTGTTCAGAAATGAAAAGTTTGTTTCATTAGACAATATTTAGGATTTTATAACTCAGTATAATTTAAAATTTATCGTTACTAAATTATACTTCCTCAATATATATGGAGAGCTAATAAAGACTATATGTTTGATGCTGTCATTACTTAAATAACATTTTTTATTTAATTTGACCTATTAGTAGAAATTCAGTTGGTTTTTCAATCATCAGTAACTTGAATCTGTCACCAGTTACATTTTTTTTAATCTAAGATGATTATTTGATAATGCAGTTTAATTTTCCATTTTTACATCATTCAAATTTGATTTATACATGTTTAAAAATAAAAATTTTCCTTCATTCACTATATTTTTGAATTTAACTATATTATTCATCCTTAACAAGATTTATAATGCCTGATACTCATATTATCAGCTTCATTATAACAATTACTTTAATTAGTTGAATTATAATAAAATCTTAAACAAAACAAAAAAGCAGTCTAAAAAATGGAATGTTGAATTTTTACTACAGATAATTTAATAATTTATTTATTTAATTATNATATATATTTGTATATTTTGCTATGTTAACAAAGAATAACAATAGTGTTTAGTTCATCAGTGGTCTAAGCCAAGCCGTTACGGCTTTGCTTAGATTGACAGAGAATAAATATATATCAACATACGAAACATCAAAAAACTAGTGAAATAATCAAAACTGTAATAATTATATCTCGCAGTCCTTAGATAGAATAACTGGTAATATACCAGTTTAGCTTACAAGACATTGTAGCACAAATTTGAGCTCTACTATATTCTAAGCTGTTGATTTTTCTGTTAGATTATATTGTAAATTTATAATTAAGTTAATATTAAAAATTTCAATTTTTAAAATTACTATAATAAAATTATATCTCTTTCTGTTCATCAGTTTTGATATGCAAACTGAAGGACAAGTTAAAACAAATTGAGACTGATTTTCCCAGTTGAAAGAATAGCTATGCTTTCGATAGGAAAAAAATCACTATAACAAATTCCAGATCTTATCACTGTACAGAACAGTTATTGATGCATCTATTCAAAAAATTACACAGAAACACAGTGCTTTGTTTGGCTGCTAAAGCACATAGGACAAATGTCATTTGTTCCTCACAACAAAATAAAATAGAGCAGAGCTATAGCTATGGAGTCTATGGTGACTAATCCCCATTCCTTGTCAGCATCGTCATTGCCAATATATGGTATATATAATATGTTAACATT